GGAAATGTGGTGCCAGTTCAATGTCCCAAGGACCAACTGACAAAGATATTTACACCAATTTTCATAATGGGATCCGTTTATTCCAATTCTCTTAGGAGGCTGTCATACTGTTTTTGTCGCGTCTTAATTGATATGGATATTTACAGTTTAAACAGAATTGCACTGTGCATTGTTTTAAGTGATATAGTAGAGCAAAAATCACAGCAAGGATGTCAGGTGTGTGTGGAATGAACTGCTGAATATACAAAGTGAATGATAAACAAATATTGGCCTCATCAATCACAGCACAAACTAAAAGTCTCCTCTTACCGTAGATCTACATGGTACGGCCCATGTTCCTGACAAAGAGTGAACAGGGAACTTTCTGGAGAAACAAGACAAGATGGTAGCTTCTGTGTGACTTGCCCTTACGTACACAGACACAGACACACACACACACATATACACACAGACACACACACACACACACACATATATACACACACAAACACATCACTGCAATCTCCATTCAGTGGGAATTTGGGGAACTGTATACTTCTCCCCCGTCTGTCAGACCATCCATGCAGCAGCTATGTTGGGACAGAACACCCCTCGCCTCGGGCGGCCACTGTTTCTGCACAGGCGCCTGGCCTGATGGACGATGAAGGTCCCCCAAGCTCCGACCACCACACGGTCCAACAAGGTACACAACGTGGCCCAATGGCTTTTGTGTGGTCACTGTGTATGTTGAGAGCCCATCTTCTGATCATTACTCACAAAGCCCTTTTCAATGTGCCATGAGCTGACACTGAAGTGGCAATATAATACAGCTAGGTGACCGTCACATCTCACAGATATTTTGGACAACAAAAAAACACGTGACCAACACCTCACTGCCTCTTAATATCCAGTTGTTACATCTATGATTCTCCCACTCATTATCCCACATACACAACAGAATTTATTTCCATGTTTGCTTTTTCATGCATAGGGATAAAATTTAAATTTTGGCTTAAATTAGCTTAACAGAGCCAGTTATTACATGCAGTGTTTAATAAAAGGATTAATTAGAAATGGAAAATCTGTAAATGAGATGATGGAAGTGAGCAGACTAAATAGGCCAGTAATTATAAATAGCTTTACCTCCAGATCTGTTATTTCAATTTGATTTGAACTTTTTCGTTTAACGGCGACAGCAAACAAAACCTTGCCAACACCGTCCGTTATTCCATGGCTGCTGTGGGGTAATTTATTTGGAGACTTAATTAAAGAGTGATCCTGTTTTAAAAGGCAAGCGGGTGATTTCATCAGGGCCTGAGTACTATTACAACCGGGTTAAGTACCACTGTTGAAGCTTCATTAATAAGTGCCAGTACAACATTGTTTGTACACCTGTGAGACAAACTGATGCAGTGTTCAGGTAACAAAAGCTGGGTGTCAGATGCTGGTACATTTAGCTGATGTAACGCTGATTTACGTAAGTTACAAACATCGTCGTGATGAGCCCTACTCCAGCCAAGCCTCCTTATAACCTGGTACAAACATGACAGCATTTTCTCAACTCCCTGAGAAGAATTAGAACCGGTGCAGGTCTTGCAGAGAATGAGAAATGTACTTACTTTTTGCCATCTACTGCTCCTTAATTACTAATGAGTATTGAAAACAAAACCACTAGGCCAGTATCTTTGTAGAGAACAGCCTACAGAATAAGAACAATGTGGATACTGTAATAACTGCAATAATGGGGCGTAGCAGTAGCACATTAGCAGTGTTAGCAAAATATCGTGTGAATACCACTTTTATTCTCTTGGTTCTCCATCAAGAATAAATTCATTAACTGATTAACTGAAAAGAGCAAATAATTGCACATATAAAGTTATATAATAAAATATAATAATATTATAAAAATGCAAATACAGAACACATAAACTTGATTAATTTAGCATTCTTAATTAATATTTTATAAGTATGTATGCATTAGTAATTATTAATTATTGATGTGCATTATTGTGTGCATGAGTGGCAAAAAATGTGATATGGGATTAATACACAAATTATCCAAAAAATGTTTCACAGGAACAAAGCAAATTCTTATGTGCAAGTACAGCTTGACATAACTGTTCTCCTAATTATACATAAACAGCCAAGACATAACAGCATGCCTCATACCTAACAGTTTCTTTTCAAACTTAACGCTCTAGTCTGCGAGACACTGGGACTTTGTGCCATGAGTAAGTGCGAGTGAAAATCTCAGAGTCAGAAGGGGAACAGGACCAGCTCAGAGAGCCATGCAATGCTTTTCAGATAGCAAAGATCTTGGACAGCACTGCCTTGGGGGTTCATGTAAGAGGCTCCACAGTTTCACCTGAACAGGTTTCACTCTTCCATACATACCTATTAATGACCACAAATAAATTACTCACAGTGAGTAGTGAAATGTTTTGAAAATAATTTTATGAAATAATTCATTTAAATTATTGTTATTGTTCTTATTTTAGAATTTTATGAATGCTGAAACTTCAGACTGCATGCTAACTTCACAAATGCTACAAATCGCCACATTACATATTCAGCAGCTCAACGATGACCATTATTCATTCATCGTACAAATTAAAATTGTGTGATTATTTTGCCTCCTTAAATACATGCAAAATATGAAAACATACGAGGTACTAAGTTGACTTTATAGAAAAAAATTCTAATGAATAATTTCTCTGATCAATTCCAAATGTTGTGACTTTAATTACACCAAATTACACTATATGTATAAATGCATCAGTTGTGTTATATTGAGTAAAAGAATATATATAATATACATATGCATTGCAAACAACCAGAATAAATATCACACCTGCAAGCAAACCTTTGATGTGTCAGTCAAGAATAAAGACTTCCAAGTAGTTTAAAAACGATAATTAAAAAAAACATTCATTCATCTAAAAAAAACTGAGCAAGGACACTCCTCTCTTAACTGCATAATTTACAAGCAGGAAATAGACTGGTATCGCATACATGAAGATTGTGGCCTGTGAAGTCACATGATGGCTGACGAAAGGACTGATTGGCTCTATACTGGAGCCACACCCACCACAGACACATAGCGTCTGTATCCATGCTCCTCCTCTGGACCTCCTAACTGTGTTTGACGGTAGTAATATACAGCATTTCTGCAGCAGTCCTATTTATCAAATACTCTGGGCATATTCACGCAAACACATCAGTGTTCAAGCCCCTTTGGTATATTGTATTATTATACTTAAATTATATTTAAGTAAAGTAACATGACATTCAGGTCTGTGTACTAAATAATGTGAATCCTCCGCGAGGTATTATTGTAGCATTTCAATTGCTTGGTGATAAAACTTGACAATTCTTAAAAACAAACAAACAAGGTGAGAAACGGTTCATATCTTTCAGGTTGCTGTTCCTTTAAATTCTACTGCGCTACAAATGGGTTGGCACTGGCAATGCAATGCTCCGCTATGCGGGAACATAGAGGTTCATGAAGACACAGCAGGTTACCATGGCGGCTTTCCCTCAGTGGCTGTTCCTGTCAGCGGGTATCATGCTCCTGAGCCCAATCAGTGCTCCGTTGCACTCGAAAACCGTGGACAATCAGCAGCTGATTACCAAGGGCAGTAGTAAATCATTATTACGTTTTACATCATACGCCACCTTAAGCAACAAAGAGCAGTCTGAACAGAGGAGCACTGCATTTCCTCCCAAAGATCTCATTAAACACCTTGTGAGAATATGATTAAATGAAACAGAAATTTCAGGCAGGAATTCATTATCGCTAAAAATAACACTTATTGTGAACTTCAGCTTGAAATTGTAAAACGTGCATGACAGATTCGTCCCTACAATATGCATTTTTCTATTCATAAATCATTCGTGTAGCAATAGCATGTAGATATCCTGCTAAAAAATAACGGTTAAATACGATGTACCTGAAACTAGCGTTTCAGAGTACGATCGACATCACGGTATTCCTTTGGAGACACACGCCCAGTGTTATCAAACGGAAAGAGAGACGAGGAGGAGCACATATGCCACTGTAGCTGCACGTGATACAATCTCTTCACATGGACTTCTATTACAACACGGTTATTAATATTTAATGCAAACACACCCTTATCCACGTTTATCGTAAAATACAAAAACAAACAGATTATATATACATAAGCGATTCTGTTGCAACGTATTATCATAGCAATCTTATTAAATATTGCGTTTTTGATATTGCAGTTGAAGCAATATTTTCGTCTCGAAACGATTTTTGCTCTCTTTCATTACATTTCTTGATTAAGAGCAATAATATGATCTAAATCATGAACGGACAGATGTAGATTTCATGCAATTTATGCAATTGTTTAAGACGTGGTATTTCCCTATATGCATCAACTAAATTTAAAATAGCGATATTAGCTGAGGCACTTTGCATAATATAGCACCAAAAGCGTGTGTTTTACTCTTCCATCTGGCATACGGTGTTATTTTTTCAATACAAGAAACTATGGATGAACTAGTGGACTACATGAATTATTACAGGAACAGAGTAGAGCAATGCAGAATCGTATGATTTACTATACTACTACACACGGCGATTGTCTTTCTAACGTATATCTTTCACAGTGGATATTTTGTATAGAAATACGTAAGATCCATGTCCGAAACAAAAATCTGATTCCAAAACTGAACGGTATCTTCTATTTTTCATGTTCAGCTGTCATTTTTTTTCAATGACATAGAATAAAACGCGAAGATGAATGACAAAACGCAAGTGTAAGTCATTCATTGAGGAATCCTCAAGCTACCCAACATTTCTATAGCGATTCATCTGCAATTGCGCTATTAAACAGCAAATGTGTCATAATAAATAAATTATATTTTTTGCAACAACGTACTCACACACAGAATCATGAGAAACGAATAAAAATCATCGAAATGAAATCCATTAGAGCGTTAGATTCAGGAATAAATGCATATAAGGCGGCGAGGTGCAACGTCCACCGTTGTACCTGTTTATGCCTGCTCCAGGTCCGGCCGCCACTCCACCCCCAGCTGCAGCACCATTGCTGGGCTTGATGTGCTGTCCAGTGCCCGATGGTGCTGAAATGGTACCCGGACCTCCCGCCATAGGGACAGCGGAGCCTGGTTCCCCAGGTTGTTCTCCTCCCTCGAGGCTGGCTTCGTTCCCCATTGTCTCGGGTAAGGAGACGGTGGAGGGGAATGTTTTTCTGTCAGTTTATTTTATTAAATTTAAAAACTGAGAGGGAACTCAAGGCTGTTCCTCTTCCGCCATCATCACTAGCATCATCCAAGAACCTGAATGGAGCACGCGCACATATCGCCAGAAAGCTGAAAGAGCACGCGCACTGACGCCGGAGTACGTGCGTGCAGCTGATCTCACATATTTCGCACGTGCCTTAAAACCAGGGGTCACACCTGACAGAACTGAGCATCGCCGGGCATTTTGCAATGTACAGTAATCTGCACCGGCTGACCTTAGGGAAATACAGCGTAAATTGATTAAAATGATTTAAAAAAAAAAAAAAAAAACTAGAGGCTAGTTGTTAAAAATAGATTTTACATCTAATCAAATCAGTCATATCTAATATATACATTGGCACAATTCTGGTTACTGGTTTACTGTATTGGCCCACTCTCAGGCCACCATGTCCAGCAGCTGGACAACCAGCCCATCATCATTTCCTAGTTACTGTGTTCAATATATAATGTATATGGTATTGATTATTGATGCTTTCTATAAATACTCATTTTCAGATATACAACTTAAGTGTGGGGCAAGAAAGAAATCTCAACATTGCTGTATGTGAGAAATTGTGTATGTGAGTAATTGTGGAAAGCACGTGAACTTGGCCGTGTTACTTCAGCTATACTACCACAACCGTTTTCAGATACCAGGGCAGAATCACAGGGAGTTTCAGAAAGATTAGCCATCTTGCAGATAAATGCTTCTTTTTAAAAAATGTTTTGTATACATTTCAGCTAAAATCTGTTAATATTAACTGGCAATGTAAACATACAGAAATAACATAAAGTACCTGTTTAACATCAGATAGACCACTCAGACGGACTATAGGTAAACTGCAAACTGTTGTTGTCTGAACAACAGACTATAAAGGTATCAATCACATTTCCTGTGCTTGCAAGCTAGAAAGATCAGTAATAATGAAATAATAATGTCACTAATAATTAAATATAACTGAAATAAAGCTTCTGATGCATGGAGACCTTTTTTCTAAAAAACACAGTTTTTGGTTCACCCTCATTTAACACACCTGATTCAACTCCTTGTGCTAATTACCACACAGCTCTTGAGCTGAATCATTCGTGGTGGAACAGGGAAAGAACTTCAGCTACACAGGGCTCCGGCCCCCCAGGACTGGAGTTTGAGATCCCTGCTCTATAGCCTGTGCAGTACATGTTTTAAAATCCATCCATCCATTCATCCATCCATTTTTTGTAACCACTTGTCCTGTTCAGGGTAATGGGAGGTTCACAGTCTATCCCAGAGGCTATGGGCGCAATTATTTAAAATCACAATCCGATTTCCTTAATGCTTATCCAGGAAGCGTAGGGCATACAGCCAGAGACACCCTAGATGCGATGTCAGTTGATTTAAAATCAGCTAATATTGTGATATTACCAGATCATCAGAAAGAATGTGTGTATCTTTCATCAAACATGATGTTTCCATATGTCAATAATTAATGTCAGTTATCTCCATATTAAGTAGATTAAAACTGGATTATGAAACATGGAACTATAATATAATAATAGAATATTTTTATTACAGAACCCACATTCTGCTATGCAGGGTACATCTAAACTAATGCAACATTATCACTCACATATGCTGCATGCAATTTACAGGCAGAGCACCTGGAGGGAGTGTACAGAAATACAGGGAGAGCATTCAAACTCCACAATCAAAGAGCTAGTGCTGACATGAAACACACAGCCCAGAAAGTGACATGTTAAAAATACTGAGCTGTGTTACTAATATAGTAACTGTAACTAAGTTAAAGGTATAATCCAAATCAATTACCAGTAGCTTCCTTGCATGGTTATTGAATACTCAAAATGCAAGTATTCTGCTGATCTTAATTTGTATTTTTTAAATTAATGAGTTACTATGATTTATAAGTTGCAAAGGGGAGCCTTATTATGAAGTGGTAGCAATTCTTGGTTTCACAGATCTGTATGATAGTCCAGAGGAGAGGAATGGTGTACACTGACAAAATGGTAACGCAAAAAAACATGAAAAAGCAGTGATATTCATGAAGGAGAACAGAGTAGAAAAGGTTCTGAACTAAAAAGCAGCTGCCATTTTGAATTATTACTAGCAGGTCTTGAAATTAATGCATTTTTCCAGAAGTTGTGTCCGGATCCGTGACTGAATTAACTAAAGGCAGACATCTAAACTACCAAAGTTTTCCACACACCACATGACATTCCGACCATGAACTTTCTTGAGTTTCCTGCCCTCTCTGGTCACTTGAAGCATTGCACTTATACTGAAGCCCTGGTGACATTTCATGAGCATTTTGCAGCAGCTAGGAGTTTCAGATTGGTGTCATGGTATAAAACAAATATTTTTACTTCCCTGGTAATTTAATTGCCGTTTGCACTGGCCAAGTAAACCTTTTTGTTCTTTATTTTGTTTTGTTTTTGTTTAAATTTGGAGAGGTCCACAGGCAAAGTTTTGGGACAATGCAATCTGAAGTGTCTGTCTGATGGCTAGATAAGCAAGGCATGAACAACCATAAATTGTTTCTTACTTTATGTTTCCCTTTTTACTCACTGCACACAGTAGCCTTAATAAATAATTATGTGAGCATATTAATTAAATGCAATGTCAAAAACAATCAATACAATATCCTTATGTTTCACTTCATCACATTCTATTGACCATTAATTCCTATATGCAGTTGGGAGAATCATTCAGGAATACACAGTACATTGAGAAATAGAATAACTTCCGAGAAATATGGAGAAAAGTGAAATATTTCTGCAATAAGTGCAGGTTATAGATTTACTGATCACACTCATTAATCAAAGTTCAGTATCAGAGGCTATCAGACATCACATATTCACAGTGAATTACGCCATCTAGTGGTACAGTGCTAATCATACACTGCCGATTTGTATTAAAAGAGCAAGAGAAAAATATGCAAATTACTGCTTTGTTTATGTCTTATTAATAGTCCCATAGTAAACAAGTACATAATTACAATATTCATTCTGTAAGTTAAATGCTTTGTTTCCATTTTTAATTAAACTCTTTGTATATCAGAGACTAGTCTTAACCTTAATGTGTAATATAAACAATTAAATTGGATAATTGGCTTTTTTTTACTTAAGATTTTTTGATATTTTATGATCAAAGGGCTTTCTGTGTTGATAGCAGAATGTTATCATTCTAAGGATAAAGTGCACATCACCGTTATTACTTTCTGCCTTACAATTCTATAGTTACATTCAATACAGAACTCAATAGAATCAAAAGATAAACTAAAAATTAACGTGAGGAGTGTTCCTCAACCAATGTCTTTGTGTTGTTTGTTTTTAATGTTTCCATGTCTTTAAAATGTGCCTCTTGCATAGAACTGGCAAGTATGGGAAATGGATGGATCACAATTATGATGAAATATTTCCTTAGGGTATTTAATGCTCAGTAGATTTTATGCATTTCAGAATTTGATAGTATATTAATAGTATAGTATATTAAGAATATTAGGCAATGTTCTCTCAGCTCTGAGCAGTTTAAAATTTGCCATGTGACATTTTCAAGCTGACTAGGCATTCTCAGATATCCCATAATCCTCCTCACACCTGCATAACTGAAACCTGTGCATTCTCCTCAGCCAGCCTGGCCAACACACAGAAGGAAATCTAAGGAAATATATATGGCCAGTTGAGTGGAAGGCAACATTCTACAACAAAGCAACAAGGCTCTGTAAGAGGGCGAAAAGATGAAGGTAACTGGGGAGACAGTGATGAGCATCATACAGAAGAGGAGGTATAACAAAAAGAAAACTAAACAGACAGAATTGAAAGAATTAAAATCCACTTACAGGCAAGACCTAATAGTGCATACTGTAAGCTATTCACTGCTGTGGGTCAATTTTAGATTTACTGAGAGAGAATGAGAAAGAAAAAGATGGTTCATATTTAAACCAGGAGCAAGGCATTTTAGATCAATCTAATTTTAATCCAGCTGTGGATTATTTTGCCTAATTTTTCCCAAGGATTTTATCACAAGCCAGGGAACTGAAAACAACTGAATATTGAAATATTAGCTGGAAAACAAATTGTAACTTTTCATCACAATGATTCAAATGGAACATTGCCAAATAGGACTCAGTTAAATTACATAAATGGACTTCAGTTCATTTTCATCTTCATTAGTAGGACAAAAAAGAGGCAAGCAGTGCTTCCAAGGAATACTTGGACAACAATGTGCTTGGTCACAACTTTCAGAATAGTTGTGCTGAGAGAAAGAATTTACTGCAGTAGGATGGTTATTGGACAGCTTGTGCATTACTGTTTTGGAAAAATGTTTGTTTTAGGAGGGGAGTGACCTTTTGTTCATTTTCTGTACCTCAGATAGACGTTGTAGACGGCTCTTCTTAGCCCCCACACATACACCACAGACAATGACTAGCAAAGACAGAATGTTGTTATTTAGAAAATTACCCATATCAGAAAAAAAAACTATTTGGCAAAGGCTTCCCCAGTTTCTTTTATAAAATGACCATAATTTGTGGAAAAAATATCTTTGTGAAAAAAACGGCTCGGCCATGAACGTTTACTTTTTCAAAAATTAGACATTCTATATATTTCAATGGCAAAAAAAGAAGAAACATCATGTATCAATCATGGATTTTATGATAGATCCTATTTGTGCTGTACTTACAAGACTAAAGGAAGAGTGGGAGTCTCTACCTTGTATTTTATAAGTGTAATTCTATACAAAATATTTTTTCTTATCTATCATGGTATCTATGGATAATACAAAATTTTGAATTAGGGTTAGATGAGTATTATAATGCATTGACATTATATTATTATGATTAACGTTAAGTTAAGAAGAATTCCTCTGGTTGTTGAAGGAGAAACAAAATGATTCTCCGTAAGGATCAATCTAATGTCCATAACAGTATTTCCCTGCCGGTTATCTATGGTCAGCCACTCAAAGAGGCAAAGCAGGTATCTTTAGGCTTGTATCTGTCTCCCTCTGGTGGTCATGTTTTCTCACACTTCAATTTGGAGTTGGAGGAACAAGAGAGACAAAGGATAAATACTTTGATCCTCTGGGAAAAAATGAAAAGATCACTCAACACACACA